GACTACATACACAAATCAACCAAACATGTAAGACTTACAGATTGTAAATGTACAACAACAGTAACCTTTTAGCCTGTGATGACAGCATGCCTGATTGAATTTTATGCATTCTCGGTTTCTGGAAGAGGTGTTTGTGGTGGGCAATGGTCAGCAGCCAGGGAGATCTCTCACAGATCCAGCAGCAAGCTGTGTGTGTGTGTAGACATGGAGTGCTACTTAGTGCCCTGAACATGTATAGGGGTGAGATATTTGCATACCTCTTGTTCTTGCAACAAAGGCTGGCCAACAGACAGGTCACTTTTTTTTTTGTTTTTTGGATGGATGTAACATGCAAGTACTGGCCAAATCTTGAAAAAGTAATGAAAAGCTGTCCTGAGCTCCAACACCTGCTTCAAATGAAACCATTTCTCTCGGTTTTCCATGCCAAAGCCCATTACTTTAAATGTAAGGTGAGGAACATTGACTAGACATGGAATAACCTTGCTGAAACATAACTGCCTGAACATTTTGACTCAGTTTATATTCTTTGTGTGTGCATGCTTTTATTTAGGCTAAGTGGAGTGGAGCATATTAAGATGGTGCTGGATTGACTCTAGGGGAAGAAGTTGAGCAGTGCAATGCATTTCTCTCAAGGATTGCTTGTCAAAAGCTGGTGAGAAGACCAAAGATTGCTTTCCTTAAAGTATAAGTAACTATGATAAAGGAAAACTCTGCTATTGTTGGCTTCTTTCTGTTTGCAGGCTGGACAGACATGCTGACTCTTTTGGCCATGTGCTAGAATTAGCAAAAACTGGACAACTTGGCCACCTCACTAACCCATTGATATCAGAAAGTAGTGAAAACATTTGATGTTTGTTAATGCTGAATTTTTTATGTATTTTTTATGAATTTTTTATGTATTTGAAATTGGCAATGCAGGCCACAAGAACAGCATCAGAATCTGGAGTTCTCAAAAATTTAGCTTTCGGTGACTGACGGTCAACTTGATGACTGGGTCCATGTTAAGGAGTGGGCAAGAAGGGGGCTATTACAGATACAAAATTAGAGGAAGTTCCAAAAGTACTTCTATGTTAACTGCATTCGTCTTATTTATCATCATCAGCAACATCTAGCACATCTGATCCGGACTACTTGGCAGGAAGAATTGAAGTTCTGGCTGCAAGCATCAAAAGGCGATCTCAGCATCTTTATAAAGTCACAGACGGAAACAAAGCTCGCCGCAAAATTGTAAAGGCCATATAAGTTTGTTTGCTCAGAAGTCACAAAGAGACATCTTACATTTGTTCTTATGCATTAATGTTTCCAAACTGGCAGTGCTTTATCTGGTTGATTTTTTTTCTTTTTTGAAATATTTTAGAGGTTTGGACCCTTTGTACTTTCTAAAAGTGCTTTTTAGAGCTGTGATTACTTGTGCATGCATGTCATTGAGTTTATGTTTCTTTTTCACTTATATTTCTGCACATCTAGTGTATTTTCCAGGAAATAGTAAGAGTAATTTTAGTGAAGTTAATAGTTTCTTTTACTTACTTCAAGTGGAGTAATTACACTTGTGCTTATGTTGAGCAGTTAAAAATGGCTACAACACTACATTAAGCAGTCCCAGTGATTCTGTAATAACTAACATAACCAAGACGCCCTTTTGGATGTTCTACCTTTCTTTTTCTTTTTTTTTTTTATTAACGTGCAGCTCTGTCTTATTTCTTAATCCAAAGACTAGTTCTCAGTACAACGCTCTAAGAACTGTTGTAAACGGCATCATGGAGGAGAGTTGTTGTGATAATGCTGAAGGGTGTGTCAGAAAGAGATAAGAGCTTCTTAAAGAGACAGAAAGCCAATTTCAAGGCATCAGATGTTGGCTATGATGTTGTCATTTTCATAACAACTGAAGGTAACATCAAAAGATTTTAATTTTTCAGAATGTCCTAGTCAAATTCCTGACTTAAATCCAATTGAGAATCAGTGGAAAGACTCAGTAACTGAAGTTTTTCATCCAGTTGCACTGAAATGAAGTTGGCTGTTTTTCACAACAAATGTAAAAAGCAAAAATAAAAAGTATTTATTATGATCCACACACACTCTTACACACTCCACTTCCATCTCTACAGCAGGCAGCAGCATCCACTAGGGGTACACAGCTAGGGCTGCCACCTAGTGATCAGTTAGGATAGGCTCAGCACTGACCTGAGCTCATGTTTTGAGGAGATGTATTGATGTCATCAGCTGAAGCCTGCATAGCGCTTGAGGTAAAGTGAATGTGTGATGTTGTTAGCCTCCAGTTATCCATGGAGATGAGCTGTGACTCGTCTGGCTGCTGGTTCAGCTGGTCATGCGCAGAACAAGGCCGAGGCAGAGAGAGCAAGCCAAGGCACAAGCTTCCATTTCTTCTTCCTTTTTAAGACTTTGCTCAAACTGATCATGTTACAAAAAACACAGCTTATTATGACATAAGCCTGGTTATGTAACAAAGTTATTACTGCCTGTGTTACAAAGCCTTCTGCATGCAGCTGACAATAGACAGGATTCTAGATCGTGGATAATTTCCTTGTTTTTCCCCCAGACCTTTCATCAGCACTTGCACATGTTTAGTGCTACAAATAAATGTAATCACATCCCATTTTGTAGCTGTCTGTGTCCCTGGGATTATTCAGCTATCAGCAGCATGCAGAGCAGCAGCACTGCAGGCCTGTTAGAATGCAGCAGGCCTGCATGTCTGATGACTGCACAGAGAATGAACCGCTGCTGCTTTGTGCCCAGAAATCTAGAGTTACACAACTGCTATAAAACAACACATCGCTGGCTTTTTGAGTTAGCTGGTTATGGAAGCTGCAGGGTTAGTGATAGTGCTATGGAAAAGCAACCAGCAGCGTTTCTCAGCTCTGCCCATTTAAATGGATGTTTTCTGTGGTTTCTGTGATAGACAGAAAGATTCTGGTTTATTTAAAAAGTTGAAAGTTGTTTATGAGTATTTTCTTCTTCCTGCAATATCAGAGTGTGTTGAGTTTTGCTACATTTCTAACTTCAAGGACTTTCTATAAGCTGGCTACTTCTCACACTGCAGTTCATTCCTCTTTTATTGTCTTTGGGATAAACTATTTTCTGCCTGTTTTTCCCCAGTCTTTAATTTTTTCACTTGGACCAGTAAAAATGTTTTGTAGTAAATTTAGAAGTATAATTTGTCTAACCATATGTATGTGATGTGTGTAACACTTCATTCATCACATGCTTTTTGTTACGGTCCCACCAGTAAGGCACAAGGACAAAGGCATATAAAAATAATATTTTCTATTTATTTTTTCAAAAAAAAAATATTAACAAAAGGTTTTCAACAATAAATCTAAAAAATATAGCAAAACAGGCCCAAAAGAAATCAGCTAAGGCAAACATAACTCAGCATAACAAACCAAAAACTGACCTCACACAATGAATTACACAGGGGAATTTATACACACAGGCTAGTCTACACAAACGAGGAGGGGTGGGAGAAGAGACAAAGACAAATAATGCATAAACATAACAGATTTAAACTAAAACATTTTGACTTTAACACAACTATGAAAACAAAATAGCCTAATACCAAAAAGGTTTTAGCAATTATGCTCTCTATTAGAGAGAGGCAGATTCTTTATCAAGTCTCCTGCTTCCATTAGCCTGATGGATTGTTCCACTTCCTGGTTTGCCTTTCAACCAATCATCTTCTGCCAGCCAGTCCTTCAAACTCAGCAAAACAAAAATAGTTAATGATCTTAAATAAACATAAGGTGTTTACTAAATCTGTGCACCCAAATTAGTAAGCAACCTAATGCAATAACTACCACCAAAAAAAAGTAAAATTCTAAATATATTATATAAAAACATTTAAATAAATACTAACACTTGGGAAAAGATGGAGGAACCTCCACACTTTTCATTTGCGATGAGTGTATTAGGTCTGGTCATGTGACACTTGAGGTTAGCTGAACTAAAACAAACAAATTATGAGACTTTTGAAGACTACATTGAATTAATCAGTTTTGGTTTTATAGACAGAGAGGAGCGGAAAAAGCAAATGATGTGGATTAGCATAGCTGCTAACAACTATAATAATAGTTATTAGCAAGCGAGGGAGTCATCCACTACATGTTACTGATACATGCTAAAAGCCCAGATACTGCGCTGTTAGCATGTTAGCACGTCATGATAGCCATGAGGCTGTCAAACAGCAACAGTCTTCAGTCAGAGGCTTCTTCTGACACATTGATCCTTCCTGCCCATGACATCTTCATCAACATCAACTACTTAAAGTACTTGGATGATGAGTTATGACAATATTTAATTTATTCCTTTATGAATAAATTAAGTTTTTTTAATTGTTTTTTTTTTAACTGAACTGAACTGTTAAACTACAGTACAGTGCAGAATGTGTGATGCTGTGGGCCTGTCTCTGTTTCAATTCCTGGATCCTCGTTAGAGTCAGTTTCATCATAGGACAGAAGGAAAGAAGGAAGAAATGTAACAATTTCAGAGAACATTTTTAGCTACTTGTTGCTATAATTCAGAATGATTTAATAAAAGATTTCTTTAAGTAAAGATTTTAGTGACGTACTTCTCAAAATGAGAAACTTCCTTTAACACTGTTCCCATGACAGCAGGGGAACAAAAAGCCTGCTGTGACATAAATTATAGACAGAAAAACCATCCAAAATAAAAAACAAAAAAAAAAAACAGATAAAAATTCCGGAAAAGATTAACGAAGACTCCCACGCCAAAAGCTCTAAATAAGAAGCTCTAAATAAATCAAATACATATTTCTATTATCTGGGGGTTGAAAGCAAACGAGGCAGCTGTGGGTTCCAGATGAGTTCTCCAGATGATCTAACCACCAAGCCGGAGGAGCTGTTGCTTTAAGATACCCCAGAGTGGCAGAACTATGAAGTTCCCACATATTTATCCTGATTTACATCAACTAATCTGCATCATGTAAAACTCTCAAGAATCCACTTCAGATTTAGAGTAAGGTCAGGACTTTAGCTCAGTGGGTTGAAGTTTTTCAGCACAATGCAGCTGATTCATCACCCAGTTATTTTTAATGAACAGAAGGGAAGACTCAGCAGGTGGAGGACACTTGGACTGAGGACGGATCCTGCTCCAGGATGGATGTAGATGTTGGCAGACAGCTACGGCGCTGCAGCTGCAAGTAGAGAATGTGAGAGGAAAGCTGGCCTTCCAGAACCCCCGACTAAGATGAGAGAACAGAAGAGTTCTGGAAGAACATTTTGTTACAGAACGCTTTCATTACAGCGGGGGTCTTGACCTAAAACTATTCCTCAGAGCAGCTGTTGGCTGTGAAATGCTGATGTCTCAGCAAAAAGGATGCTGTTATGTCTGAATGCTGAGAGAGAGAGACAATGTGCCGTCAACGTGTTTGGAAAGTCCTCAAAAGTCAGATAGCACCGCGTTACATACCTACCGCGCCCAATTCTGATGAAATGGAAAACAGCTTGGTGATGTTCAACTGCACATGCCTACCCAGAGTTCTGCAGCTAGAACTCCTTCACAGAAATAAGTAGAGTCAGTCCTGGAATTTCACAAATCAGAATGAAACGGATCAACTGTAGCTCAGCAAGGCCTGAAAGCTACAGTAAGACAGAAGCTAAAAATAATTCAAAGACAGTGAATAGTTGATTCCTACAGTTTCCATGTCTTGTAAACAGGATGTACGTGCTGCTGGTCAAATGCACAGACTGAGGTCTAAGTCCATCATTCTACAGTGAAAGATATTTGATATGAATGGAAAACACATGTGAAAGTTTGCAACCTTCCCAGGAGCCGATGTCCCAACTTGTTCACCCAGAAGTCTGCACTGCTCTGAGAACTGACCCTGAGACCCCAGAGCTCTGTCAGGCTCTACAGGCCTCACTGGGCATGTTAATATGAATGCTCAGGAGAGAGGAATAGCAATAATAATAATAAAAAAAATCTCAACAAGCATGGTTTGTTTTAAAGGTCTGAAAATGGCAGCATAGTTCTCAGAACACAGATGAAACACAAAGTAGAGAAGGTCAACCTTAATTAGTGATGTGCATAGAGAAAACTAATGCCAGTCTTATAACACAAACAGCTCCTCCCAGCTGTAGAGCCAGTGTAGGTGTCATGATTTGGGCTTGTTTTGCAGGTTTTATCTGTTACTAAATGTTCTACTATTCTACTACTGAACCCTGTTAAGAGTTTTCATTCTTAAAGTTGAACTAACACCTCTATGACAGCATAGCCTCACTCCCAGACAAATATCGAAAAATTAAACCAAAGTGGGCGGAGCCAAGAGGCACAGAGGGGCACGGCGGAGCGAAAACACTGCGGAGAACGTAAGATTTTGTTGCTATATGTAGTGAGCCTTCCTTAACCCTCTAGCAAGTGACTGTCAACAGATCTAGCAACTTTTTTCTGTGTTGCTGCTCTTAGCTCCTCCCACCTCCTGAGCTCTGCAGTCCGAGCAGTGGTCCACAAACCAAAGGAATCAAACATGTGCAAAGCTGAAGAATCGCTATTAATCAATGCTCACCACCAGGCGGCGTATTTTATACCCGAACTGGGACCGTGACACAGCTATTGACCAAACTCTACCGCTTGGTCAAAATTTTGCTGAATTAAATAAATGTAGACAAAAATATCAATATTTAAACAGAAATGTAAAGACAGCACCCTGAAAGAACTACTTTAAAAATGTGTGTATAGAAAAGTTGATTTGAGTTGTAGTTATTATTTAAGATCTGAATCAGTTTGGTTTGTGTAGCTGTCATACGTAAGACAATCACCTATAAACAAGTATATTTATGACAGCCAAAGGTAACTGTTTCTGCTCTTCGTGTATTACCAAATGTCACACTGTATTCTTGATCCCAGCCCATCTGCTGGGATCATTAACACCCCTGTGACCTCTAATGCCCTCTCTAAGCCTCTGTAATCTCAAATCCGGACGCCTAATTGAATTTAGGCCGTGGACAGCAGCACTGGAACAGGACTGCCATGGAGGCAGCAGACTGTTTTGGACCTCTGACTGAGAGAACAAACAGCTCTATAATTAATCTGGCATTAACAGTCATGTTAGCTTAAATCTTCTGATTGTGTTTTGTTTAATTCAATGTGTTCTATCTCTATAGAAATGATCTTTTTTTCTGTCTGAGTTGATTTCAGAGCACACAATTACACTGTAAAAAATAAATCACTGTGAGGAATGATTAGTCAAGGGATGCAAACCAAGACACAAACCATCTGTCAGTGCAATGACAATGGTTGAAAAGATGTCTTGAAATTATTTAAACACTTTTTACTTTTGCATATTTGATTTAAATGTGTGAAAAGCAGGTACTAAAGTTAATTAGTGCCACTAACCAACCTGATGTTTTGAACAGAAACAAAAAGATGTTTCCACCTGGAACCAGTCAGCTGGATGGAGAGGCTGGGATCTTCCTCTGAAAGAAAAAGCATGTTTGAATTAAGAGAACTTTTTCTCAAGAGTTTCAAATTATTTTACATTGTGTAGGTAATTATGAGGAGTATCTAAGCCTCCCAACAGGCTTAAATACTGTTAGGAGTATTTAATATTATGGATAATATTAATATGGAGCTGTGTAATGAGGGAGGGTCTACATCCTACACCACGGTGGGCATAATAATTAGGCACCTTCTGTCTTTTTGGATAAATGGACCAAACGGAGATTTATGTGACTCTGAAAAGTCAGAAATGACCAAACGTCTCAGAGCAATGCAAAATTCATCCCATTGCTGAGATATTGGGGCATGATGCAGAACCGTCAAACTTTATGCTGCAAATAGTCAACAGAGTCGCAAGAAAAATGTTGAGAAAAAAAGGGACAAAAAATTTCACATCCTGCTTTTGGATAAAGTGGAAGACTACGGAGCCCCTAACGGGACATGGAAAAAAGAAATCCCGACTTACTTTCTCGCGATCCCGAGAAACTTTCTCGAGATCCCGAGATCCCGACTTATATTCTCGAGATCCCGACCTTTTTTCTCGAGATCCAGAGAAATGTTTGAAAAATTGTGAGTTACTTTTTTTGGGGGAAAAGGCATTTTTTATGCGGTAAACGTGGTGGAGTGTGTCTACATCATGGAGGAGGACTTATATAATTTTTTGCGTTGTCCCAGAGGAGGATATCATGCAAATGCAAAGAGACAAAAGTCATTTCTCCGTCTGAGGCGTCTTGCCTGCCTTAGTGCCACAAAATAAGTCGAGATCTCGAGAAAGTAGGTCGAGATTTCTTTTTTTTTCTTTTCTCTCATGTACCCTTAGGGGCTCCGTAAAAGACAATCTAGCTAGATAGAAATCTCCTATTTTACAAAATATTCTTCTTTAGACACTATTTTGAATTCTAATCTAATTAATTGCATAGTGATGTTGCCTTTTGTTACATTATACGGAGCCCTCCAGGGGACATGGGGATTTTTTTTTCTTTTGCGTCTCCTCGCAAAAGGTTTTGCGTTCCCTCGCAATAATCTACTGATCAGTTCATGCGGCATAATTGATACTGTAAGCCTCTGGTGGCCGCCGTATTTTCTGCTTTAATACAAGCTTATTATTAACTCTTTGGTGCAAAAAACTGATTGAAAATCGATTTATTTACTGCATGTTTATGTCTTTTAAGGCTAAGATGGAACGGCACTGAAAGCAGCCCTTTAAACCATTCAGACACGAACACAATGGAGACACAATCAGATGACTTATTACCCTGCGATAATAACTCGTCCATGGAAAAACCTTATAAGCTTGTATTAAAGCAGAAAGTACGGCGGCCCCCGCAAAAAAGGCTTACAGGATAAATAATGCCGCAGGAACTGATCAGCAAATTATTGCGAGGGAACGCAAAACCTTTTGCGAGGGAACGCAAAAGTATTCCGTATTTGGCTGTTAAATGTAGCGTCCCATGTTGAGCCAATACAGGATGTGATTTGTTCCGTATTCTTCAAATGTGGATAAGAAAGTGGTCCCCGAGTACTTTATATAGTAGGCTGCCCCAGTCATTCTTTCATTCACAGTGTTGGTGTTGCGATATTGTGCCCAACTGCTTTCTTGGTAACACAGATCAACCGACAGTCTTCCCTCGCCAACCCCTCCCCCCAACGACCGCTTAGTCATGAGACTAGGACAATGCGCATTAGTGGCCGTCTCTTATTTTGATTTCTGAAAGGTGACAACCCTACATGTCCATCACAGGAAAACACAATACACAAAGTCACTCGCTCCTATAGGAAATCTTGAGAGACCAGTTAAGCTAGTGCAGCCAATTCACCATGACCCTGTCTGTCTCAGTCAGACTCAGTCAGTC